TTTTTTTCTGTAATGCATTTGTAAAGTCTGTGATGTATAATTTATACAATATAAGATTTAGATATTAAACCATGTAAAATAATTTGTTCAGTTTATATGAACATTACAATTTTGAAAGGGAGAGGGACGCTGCTGGAGCAAATGCAAGTTCTCTTAAAAACCATGTATTCATTAATACATGATAATTAAATTTTCTTTGATTTCCCATTTTACTTTAATGTTTGATATAATTAAACATTAACATATTAAACATTATTAGATATTGCAAAGCAGGTTCCTGTTTCTTTCTCACTTTCTTTGAGTCTTTGGAATATTATGAACTGTTAATTACTTATTTGGGTGTCCTTCCTTTATAAGGCTGTCATGTGCCTAATTGATTTCTGGATTTTAGGTCAAGTGATACATTATGTTATACATATTAGTTCAAAATGAATCAGGGCTTGCCACTTCTGTTTTCTTCACAAAATGTAGGGTGAGAGTAACTCAGTCCAGATCAAGACCATGGTGTAGAAGGGAGCAGTTTTATATCTCACTAATGCCATTTTTCTGCCAGAAGCTACTGAGAGTTGTCATGAACTTCAGACATTCCATTACTTAGTTTATCGTTGGGACTATTCAGAAGTTGCCTACCAGAGAAAATAAAATTTCAGCTTCAAAGAGCTGTTGGAAGCTTCTCTTACATAGTTCCTCCCATTCAGTCTTCACTGAGTTTATTTGAACTAGTCTGACTCATCTCCCCATTTTTTAAAGCAATGGATCAAGAAGCTAGAGAGATAATGGTATACAAATACATTTGAAAAAGTCAGAAGTGCCAAAGGCAAGGAAATTTCTTTTTGGCAAATAATAGTGGGATGTGCCCATTAGATCTTTTCAGAGACAGTCAGATCTTTGGAACATGAGTATATGTGCCAGATCTTGGGATTGTAATGCCACAGTGCTCTAAGTAAGACAGTGTGTTCTGTATTCTTGTCCTGAGGGCTAAAGTAACTGCAGGTGTTTGCGCACTTATAGACCTGAAGCTGTAAATCTATTCTTCTGTGTTTTCCATCTACATTAGCTTTTTTTACAGTGCTCATTAAAAAAAAAAAAATCTGAATATACTTCCCCCTCCATTTGTCAAGTTTTAATCTTAACATTCCATTAAACTGACATATCCTACTATTGTACTGCTCTGTTACTCAGTCTTCTCCCTGAGTCATAACTTCCAGATTAGAGGAAGTTTATAATGTATGAAGGTGAGAAAACTCAGGGCTGTATTCCTGTTATTTTTTTTTTTTGACAATTAGATGCATTAGTCTGTTGGAGGGAAAAAAGAACGTTGAATATTGAAAGTTGATTATGAGACCTGCATCATCCTAATACCTTTTCAGTAATCAGAAATTTCCTTCTTCTGAAATACAACTTGTTCAGGATTCCTGGAAATTAAAAAGAACATTCTCACTGACATGTTTTGATATGTTGTTAACATTGAGACAGGGTGTTTTCAAAAAGTGTCAGTAAAAGACATCATATATCCTTGTGAATTTGATCTAGTAGGATCTTTAGGCCACACCTTTCTATACTGCTCTTCTTACAATGCTAGTAGGTCTAATCTTATTGTCCTCCTACTGGCTGAAAATGCACTGGCAACTTCTTTATATTGTATCTGTTAGCAGATAGAAATGTTTATCATGCATACTTATGTATTTATTTAATATACTTACATGCTACGTCCTATGCTGAAGCATCTCAAAATACTTTACAATAAAAAAGAGTAATGCAATACGTAGTAAATGATACATTAAAAAGGCATAAAACAATATGTTGATAAATTATGTGCTAGAGTTTGTTACCTCTGAAGGTTAATGATTACTCAGTACTGAATGCAGTCATTCTTGTCCTTTTAATTTGTATTCTTTCTACAGTATTTCATTCCTTTTGTTTTAAGGATTGAATGTGTACACTTGGTAGTGCTTACAGTGTCTTGTAAAATGAAATAAATGGAACTTATTGAGGATAGAAGAATTGGGAATTGAGTCAGAAGGAGAGAATGGTTGGAAGAATACTATCCTTTTATCTAGAGAGGAATCCTTGTCAAGAAAAAATACCGTGTATGGGGAGGGCTAAACTTTTCACTACTATTTTTTTAAAAGAAGATATGGACCCTTAATACCAGTAAATGTTGTTTAGTGCGTTATTGTAGTTTATGCACACACTGAAAAAGTGAAAACGAATTAAGCAGTCTTGTGCAGAAGCTAATTATGAGGATGTTTGGCTTTCTGGATTCTTGATTAAAGCTATGGGGGGAAAAGGAAATATTTGGATATTTTAAAAACTTCAAGGCCTTTTTTTGTTTGTTTCTGGCAGATTAAAAAATGGTATTATGAATATGTCCTAATATTTTCTTTTTAAATGATACATGAGGTACTTAAGATGAGAAGGAAGTTGGTCTATGTTTGGAATACTCACACCAAATCAAATTAACCAGTGAAAGGGTAGAGAGGCTTTTCTTAATATAGACATATTTTACAAAAGAAGTAGAAAATAGTAGTAGAATCAGAAAATAAAATTAATTATACAGTGCTTCATGTGGTAAAAAGTGTATACTGAGCTTTGGTTTACTCCTATCTATTTCCTCTGTCAATTAGTGGTTCCTGTATTTCTTAAAGATATGTCTCTTTGTTTTAATTATATTGTTTACTGATGTTTTTAACATTAAATTTCTGTGCTTGCTTTTCCTAAAATAGGAAAAATGAAACAATAGTATTTTTCAACAGGTTGTATTTCATTTATAACAAAAAATAAAAAATATTCAAAGTAAATTCAAGCAATAGGTTTAAAGTTATTATCTGAGCAAAGTGTACTTGTCAATTTATAAAGTGAACATACTTTTTTGAACAAACCAAATTACATACAACACAGTTAATAATTAAAGTTACAATAATGCTGAAAATGAGCTGCATGTTTGCATTTCCTCCAACATTTCTAGTTTTTTCCTGGATGCTTCAAAATTTATAAAAACTTTGCATTTCTAATCATTACCCTGAGAGGTTAGTTTTAGACTAGGAGTGGGTGAATTATCCTCAGACCTCTCTCAGCAGTTGCAGAAAATTGGCAGCATAATTTCTGCAATTTTGGGTGGCAACACATAAAAAAGTAGTGTAAACCCTAAGTAGTCTTAATGTAGTTTAAAAAACAAACCCAGGAAGTAGAAAAATCATGACTCCACACAGATGTATAAGAATTGACCCTTCCCACTTGGCATCATCATCATGTGTGTAGTGTCTCTTGTTTTCCCCAAAGGTTGTATACACAGCCTCTGGTTTTGATCCTTATTTACAGGGCCACTGTAGAGGCATTAGAATCCCTATGTTAAAAAATTCTCCTTACATGAAATATGTGTATTGAAACCCAGCTGCAGAATTACATCACTACTGTATCTTATAATTCCAAATGCTTTTAGAAAATGAATGTCACACTTCATAATTTTGTACCTGACACTGTGTCTGAAATGTCATGCAGCTGAGATACACTTATTTTCTGAATTAAAATTTCAGGTACTTGTCTTAATGATTTTGGAAAGTTTACACTGACAGTGTATAGAACTTCCTGTGGTAGAATGTAGTTATGAGTTTCTGAACATCTCTCACGAATGGGAGGAGATGATAGAGCGCTGACTCCAGGATTTTCCTTTAAGAACATGAGTTTCTGCTGCATCACTGTGGCTGAATGATCCATTCATTCAGAAATTATTCATGAAGGAGGCAGAGCTGGAACAGCAAATCATGCTGAGGTGCTGCAAAGATTTGTGCTGTCTCATGGATTTATATCTTGGGCTTCCATAAGGCTTTAATTTAATTTGTGTAATGTATACCTCATGGCTCACCATTTGAGAATTTGTTCTTTATGCAGTTGACTGCTTCTATCTTGGACACTTTCAGTTAAAGAGAAAACATTGAAGATGCATATCCTGTAAATATATTATTACTTAGTAATTTTCCCTTTCTTTTCTTTAAAAGATATTTGATTTAATGGATGCAAAAGCTCGTGCCGATTGTATCAAGGAAATAGATCTTCTTAAGGTAATTTTGTCTTTTGTGGTATGAATCAAATATATTTCAGCATTACTGTTTTGATAATAAAAGAAGCAATGAGTTATCAGATACAGGTAATTTTATGCATGTCATTTCATATGAGTAGCAAGGTATATTAACTTAGAGCTTCACTGAATAGTCAGTAGGTCATCTTGAATTAAAATGTTTACATCAGACCCACATAAATCTGTGGAATTCGGAGCAAACTATATCTGGCCAGTGACTTTCTTCCTGGGGAAAGAAAAATGAATCATGAAAAGACACCACAGGTCTTCAGCTTCTTAAAACTATGACTGAACAGGCCTCACCTACTGATCTTACTATACACCTGGTGTCCTTGACAAAGTGAGCTATAATTTAAGAATTTTACACAACAATACATTGATCCACCCTTTAATCCAAAGATCTTTAATCTTTGATCTTTAAAATCAAATTTAAATTTAACCCTGTAATCTTTGTTATTTTTTTGCTACAGACTAATATGGCTCTCTGTTTAGAAATTAATTTAAACATGCACATGTTATCAGTTTTGGGGGCCTCAACCTCCACTTGATAATAGATTATATGCTGTCTTTTAAGTTAAGGTCTAAGAGTCACTTTAAATGGAAATCAGTATTCACCCATGGATTATGGAGTTCTTTTTTTAAAAGATGCTACCTCCTTCTACTGCCTTCCCTTACTTTGAAAGAGAAGTTTGTTTTATGGGTGGTGATAAAGGGTATAAGCTCACTGTTCAAGGAACATAGACATGTTCACAAAAAGAATAAACCTTTGGATTCAATATTAAAATCAAAGTCTAATGTAGCAGAAAAAAGTTGTGATTTGCAATAAGACAAAAACGATGCATATGCATACCCAAATCTTTTGCACTACTTTTAGCTATAAACTGTACAGATACAGGAATGTATAGGGGAGAATATTTATATATATTGTATTATACTTGCACCAATTTCTGTATTTTTTGTTGTCAAACCCTGCAAGGTGATGCGTTCCCATTTTTGTTTTATTTTTAAAATAATGTTTCTAAAACCTGTCGAATAGCAGATATTCTTTGCTAGAGAGAAATAATATCTCTTGCTTGTTTTAAAAGATTTAGACCATGTGATTTGAAAAATACGTTAGGTACGTAACCTGTTTTTAGTTCTTATATTTACAACTTTCATTCCTAAAAGGAACTCAAGGTAACGTACATTAATCTCTCCATAATTTTATCTTTTCAAAAGTTTCTTCTGCAGCAAGCTTGAAATGGTGTATCAAACATCTGTGCTTTACCCTGGAAAAGCTAACCCTTTTAGGTTTTAAATTATTTTATGTTATGCTGTAACATTCCATTAAAAAGAACAGCATTAGTTACAGTTAGTGATTGGAATTGGCCACTGCCAGGAAAAAAGAGAGGAATTTTTAAAAATTGCCCTCAAACACAGCAGCATTGGGCATTGGCAGAGGGTACATTTCAGCATAGAGAAAGCCTACCTCCTAATTGTTACTAAGCAGTTATTTATATGCTGCTGTACAGGCAAAACCTTCCAGGAAGATTGTATACATGTGGGAACTGGTGAAGTTGTTCTCTGAAGTAACATCATCCCAAATACTTCCAGTTTCTGTACAGAGGTCAGCATCTTGAAAGTAGTGCAAGATCTTTTAGCACAGGTATAAGAGCAGTAAAGCACCCCAGTCAGCAACCTAGCTGCTGCATTGAGTTATTATTTCCAAAATTGAGGCTATGAGGACAGTAAAAGAATTGGGGGGGAGGTTGTTGTGGTGCCTTGAGTCAGTCTTAATTCCTCATGATTATTTGGACAAGTCCCTGCAGTTTTCTGGAGAAAAATTTCAGAAGTGGTTTGCCTTTGCCTTCTTCCTATGACTGAGAGAAAGGTCACCAGGTGGCTTAGTGCCTAAAGCAAGACTTAGAACTCAGTCTCCGGTTTCTAGCCTCGTGCCTTTAACCACTATGCTAAACTGGCTCTATAAATAAAATATAATAAATATATGTTATATTTTAAAGACAAAATGCATTTTACTATATTATAACAAATATTTTAAAATATTATACGTATTTAAAATAAAATATATTTTATTATATTATAAAAATATAATAAAAGAATGATTAGATCATTGAAAACTTGAGCTTTGGTTTAGTTCAGCTTCCTTAACAAGGATTGCATTGATTTTTAAGGGGTTCTTTAAAATAGGAGTTCTGTTTTTTAAAATAACTGGTGAGTATGGAAAGAATGAATATGAAAATAATCTTTTAATTATAGAATAGGAAAAGTCCTCTTCCCAACTGGGGAGATTTAAATGGCAGAAGATACAGGTCACCATTTTTACTAGGCTTCTTCAGTCTGTGAATAGTAGTCTGTAGACTGAAATATGTTTGTTTTCCTAGCAATTGAACCACCCAAATGTGATCAAATATTATGCATCATTTATTGAAGACAATGAACTAAACATAGTTCTGGAATTAGCAGATGCTGGAGACCTTTCTAGGATGATCAAGGTATGACTTTTTCTTGTTAGAAGGAGTTACACATAGGTATTTATTTTGATTAATTATAAAAGAGTTTATTTTATCCATTCAATCTAAAAAGAATGAAATAGAAACAATAGCTGCTGCTGTATTTCAGATAATAGGTGTATGTACATCTTATCCAGTGAATTGATACTTCTACATATATAACCAGCTGCCAAAGATTATATCTTATTGTCAAGTAAATTTTATAATTATAAGAAAATATAGATTGAGACAAAAACTTAGAATTATTCCCCAGATTTGACACTTGAACCACAATAAAATAATTGGATTTCTATTATTAATTCTTCCCTTCAAATTTTACCCAGAATTCGGTTATAAAAACTAATTAGAAGTTGAACATGTGATGAATAAGAATGGGTCCATCAGACATATATTTGGGAGCAGTTGTGTCATCTGAATGCACATGCTGCCCCCAAAAAGACGTTTGGATACTTTGCAGTAGTCACTCTCCAGTCTAACATTTGAAAGGTGTTACTTACAAAAATTCTACAAGATTTTTTCTCTGTTGGGAGTGGGGAAAAGAGGAATTGGGAATCACCATGGCAGTCAGTAGAGTGTTTTAGCTGTTTTTGGATCCCCTAAAACAGAATTGGAATCAGCACTAGGCAAGCAATCTATCTCAGGTCCTTGTCTCTTCACCTATATTAATCTACTTTCTTCCCCTCTCCCCACAATTTTCTTTTATTGATTTTTTTCTATAACATTATAAGTGTATAACACTAACTATTAACCTGTGAAGTTTTATCTTACATGTATTGTGCTCCAAAAAAACCATAATTATTTAATGATCATTAAAAGTAGACTATTTATAATGAGCAGGCAAAATGAAACATTTCTTGGCTAAATTTTGTAAATCAATGCAGTATATATTTTATACAACATATAAAAAGGTACTCATCTTTCAGTGTTGTTTACTGGTCAGTGACCAAAATAAATATTATTTATGTTTGTACATGTGTGTGTATACACACACACACATGCACATGTACACACACACACTTTCAGTATTGCTTTTATTCATATCTCTAAGAGATTTTATATTGAAGAGGAAAAGTATATAAGTATATGAGGATTCTGTGAATCCCCAAAGAAATGAATACCAAAGAATCAGTACAGATTGTCCTTGCATATTTGCACTCCTCTGCTGTAAATGACAATCCTTAACATAGTTTTCATATTATTATTATATTTAATTCACATATTTCATTAAAATAAGCTAATTTATGTGGTTTACTTTTGATTCCAAGAATCAGATTAGCAAAATTATAAACAACTAAGTCTTAATATTTTTCCATCAACTTCAACGTTTTCACAAAATGTTCTTATATTTTGGTTCTCAAGAAAGTAGCAAAAGTCAGTAGAAAAATTTCTAAAACCAAGTTCTAAATCAAATTCTGTCTTCCTTAGGGTATACTCATACTCAAGAAGAAATACAATTCTTAGAGAACCATTGTTTACCATTCGTAGCAAAACAAATCATAACCCAGTTCTGCAAACTAGCAATCTATATTCACTGTATAAAGTTCAGAGATAGAAATTGGAATTACTTGGCAGTTGTAGACTGAACACGAATAGTCTATAACCCTACTACCATTTCATGTTACCTCTAATAGAGATTTTCCAGTGAATTCATATATTAACAATATGTAAAATTTACCAGTAAAACAGGTAATTATGGCAACACAAACAACTGTATTCCCAACTTTATAAAATATTTCAGTAACCAGATAGTAAATTTAGAAATAAACATTTGGTGAATGTACAGATAGACAACCTATATGAAATTATATTCTAAGGAAGTCTACTTATCCTTGTTTTTGCTAATTGATATGCTTTTTAAAAAATTACCCCCAAAAGCCAAACATATCATTTTTCCAATTTTTATATTCAAGTGAATAACTACAAGATGAATATATGTAGTGTATATTTCATAATTATGCAATTTCTTTGCTTCATTTCATCCTATATAATTTTTCTTCCACCATAATACATTGTTCTCCAGACTAGTTTAGTTAACAATTAAATACATTGGTGTCTCAAGTTTGTTGAATATAAAAAAATGAAGTATGATTTTATTTAGCTCTTACACTTTGAACATAGAAATTTATTTTGTGTGTTCCTTGGAAGAGAGTACAATAAATTTATTTTTTACTTTGAATAATGTTTCTTGCCAAAATGACAATTTTAAGTTAATTGTGAAGTCCTTGGGGTTGTCTGAGCTTCGTTGTTTTCTTGCAGACGTTTCATTACCCAGCTAGGTAACATCTTCGGTGGTAGAAGAGAGTGGGGTTTGCTCTCTGTTTATATACAGTAGCTTGCCTTGTCAGTGTTGTGGGGGTGTTGTTTTCTCCTTGGTAGTTCCTTAATCGGGCTGTTGTTTACTGCTTGATTGTCTGAGTTGGTAGTTCTTTGATTAGGGTATTGTTTACTGCTTGATTGTTTGTCTGGTGTTGATCCTAATCCCTGCTTATCTGGGTGTTGATTGCTGGTGAGGAGGTGTTCTGGTCTTTTTGTTTCCTTTTATTGCCTCTTTTGAATACTGTGTAAATGTTGTTTATCTCTATGTGTCTGTTGATGGCAGACTTGTCTGAATACCAAGTTTCCAGGAATTCCCTCACATTTTTGGATTTAGCTTGGTCTAAGATGCTGACAGTTTCCCAGTTGAAACTATGGTTAAGTCTGTCCATGTGTTGTGAGATTAAGGAGTTTTCATCGTGTCTTCTGGCTGCTAGTTGGTGTTCATTGATGTGCTCTGCTAGCCTTCTGCTTGTCTGTCCTACATAGTGGCTGTTACAGTCCTTATACTGTATGTTGTAGATGACTCCTGTTTTTCCTTCTTGGGCTACTGGGTCTTTTGGTTTGCTTAAAATGTTTTGGAGTTACATCTTCCATGTACATGTTTTGGAGTTACATCT